TGAGATACAAAGGGGGAATAGAAAACATTCCGGGGAAAAGGAGGTGAAGGTTTTTTAAACTAAAAGAGGAGGGTTTTGGGTAAGATATAAACAGCTTTGGAGGATAGATGGGCTAATGGAGCATAGGCAATGGGGTCGAAGAGGTATTTGGGGTGGGTTTTTAAAAAGTGTGTTTTGAGTGTTCAGAAATTTGTGGTTACAGGGAAAATGGGGGGCGGGGGGAAGAGGAGCGTTGGTGGAATGTGATGTGGAAAAGAGTAGTTAAAAGGGGGAAAAGTTAAAATAAGGAAGTTTTTAAAAGTAAAAGTGATTTCAAAGGGGGGGAAGAATATATGGAAGAAAAAAAAAGGGTTAAAAGAGTGGTGAAGCAATGTTAAAAAAAGGCAAATGAGGGAGTGGGTGAGATGGGTTTTCAACAAAAATTTTGGGTTTAAAATTAAAAAAAAAGTTTTGGGGTGAGATTTAAAAAGTTAAGGGAAAACCTAAAAACCAAAAAGGATTTTTTCAGTTTAAAAAAAAGGGGGGGAGAGTTATTAAATGGGAGTTAGAGGTTTTTTGGGAAGATGGAGGGGGAAAATTTTTAGGAAATTGTTTAAAAGTTGAATTTAAGATAGGGGAAACTGTGATTTCGTGTATAGGGCAAGGAGGAAACAAAAATTTTTTGTAGGAGTGAGGAAAAGCCAGTTTGGGGTGTGGGGGGAAATTCGTGAGGGAGTAAAGGGAAAAAGAAAGGGGTTAAAGGGGAGCCGGGATTGATGGGTAAAGATAGAAATGTTTAAAAAAGCAGGTGGGGGAAAAAGTTTTTGGAAAAATGGTTGGTGCCCAAATTTTTTAAAAAATGTATGGAAAAGGGGGAAAGGGACCCAGGGATTGGGGGGCTGATAGTTCCCCCTTTTAAAAGAAAAAAAGGGGAAAAAGAGATGAAAAATTATAGGGGGGAAAAATTTTTTATATACCGGAAAATGTATGGTTTGGGTTTTTAAAAGAAAGATTTTGAGTAAAACAGAATGGATTGGATGAACAAGGAGGTTTGGGGTGGGGGGTGTGTGGGCAGGTGTTTTTCATGAAATTTATGAACAGTAGAAAGGTAAAAAGGTTTTTTGCATTTATGGATTTGGGGAAAAGCTAGGGGGGTGGTAGGGGGGATGTGGGATGTTGCAGGGGTTTTGGTTGGGGTAGGTTACTAAAAACGTAAGGTTTTTTGAGGATAGTGAGGCTCAAATTAGGGGGTTTTAGGGAAAGAGGGAAATTTTTTCCCGGGAAAAAAAGGCCCTTTGACAGGATGTGTATGTCACCTGGGTTTTTAATAATTTAAGAGGGGTTGTAAAGAAGTAAATGGAGGGGTTTTTAAAAGGGTGAATTAAAAAAAAGGGGAAACAAACAAAAGGGGGGTTTCACGTTCCTTTGGATGAAGTGCCCTTGGGGGATTCTGAGAAATTGCAAGTTGGGGGATATTTTGGGAAAAGGGGTTTTAAAGAGAAATTGAAAAGGGAAAAGGAAAGAGTAAAGGGTTTGGTAACAAAAATTTAGGTAGAAAATTGGATTCAATTGGAGGGGAGGTAGGAGGGGGTAATGTTTCAGATATTTGGAGTGGGAAAGTCGCGGGTGGGTTATGAAAGAGAGGTAATCTAGAATGTGAGGGGAAAAGGTGAGTGGTGCCTTAGGATGTGGGGCAAAAACGTTTTGGGGGCAAAGGGAAATGTATGAAAGTATAGTAGTCCAAATATTAATGGGTGTAAGCTTGGGTTGAAAAGCAGCAGCGAGGAACGGAGGCAGGGGTGTCCTGCTAAGGGCAAGGGTGGTGAAAATATTATCAAAAATTTCCGAGTGTGGAAATTAGGAAAAGGTGTGGATTAAATAAAAGTTTAGTCAGGGGCAGAAGAGGGGTTGTTGGGGTGGTTTGGTCTTTTAGAGAGAAGGATCAAAGTAAATGACAGGGAAAAGATATAAATCATAGGGGGGGGAAGACGAGGTAGGGGTCATCCTCGAAAGGGGGGAGGGGGGGAAAATGGGGTTTTGGGGGAAAGGGCTTGGATTTCCCGCAAGCGGCGTGGGGTGTTAGTGGATGAATGGAGAAAATGGTGTTTGGGGAACCGATGATCGTGGAGTGTGAGCAGGGTAATATTTAGTGAAGGGATTCGGGGAAACCCGGGTTATTTTTTATTAGTGGGGACTGAGTCCTGGAAAGGGGGAAGTACAATCCTGCACTTTAAAGGGGGGGGTTTGGGGATATTGGCAGTTTTGGGGGTTTGTTGGTTTTTTTTATTGTATATGCTTCTAAGTGTTGTATTCTGAGCCCTCTGAAAAAAACGTGTTATGTGTGGTGTGGGAAAGTGTTAAATGATGATGAAAAGCTTTTTTTTTGGGGATTTTCTTTCTTTTTTGGGTCCCCCTCCCTCAGGGAGGGGCCAACTTAAGTAGACTTCAGGATTACATTTTATAGAGGGGCCAAGTTTAAAACAGTCAGTTTTGTTGTAGACACTGAGAGAAAAAGGTAGTGGGATACAAGGGAGAATAGAGCATCAGGGAAGAGAGAGGTAAGGTTTAAAAAAACTAAAAGGGGGGGGCAGTTAGGGTAGATATAAAAAGCTTTTGGGGAGGAAAGAGGGGTAATGAGGATAGGAATGGGGTCGAAGAGGTATGGGGTGGTTTAAAAATGTGTGTTAGAGTGTTCGCAGAAGTTTGTGGTTACAGGAAAGTGGGTGCGGGGGGGGAAAAAAAAAAATTTTAATGTGTAAAAGATTTAAAAAAATTGCTATGAAAGTTTTTCAAAAAAAAATTTTGGGGGGGAAAATTAAAAAAAAGGAGGGGAAGAGTGAAGGTAAAAATTTTAATAAAAGAGTGTTAATTTTTTACAAATTTGGTTAAATAGAAATTTTGATGAGGTGAGATTTGAACTTTTAGGGGCCAAAACTTGTTTGTTAAGTTAAAAAAAAATTATTAATGAAATTTAGAATTTTAAATTGGAAAAGGAAAGGGAAATTTTAAATTTTGAGGGAAAATAGAATTTGTTTTTGGGAAAAGGGGAGGATGGCAATTTAAAAAGTGCCATTTGGCGTTGGGGATTCCCTTGCAAAGGTAAAAAAGATCCCGGTTTTAAGAAAATAAAATTTAAAAAAGGTGGGGAATTTTATTTTCAATTAATTTAAAAATAAAAAATTAAAATGGGGAATTCGGCAAAAATTTTCTTGTTCCTTTTTTTCCCCGGGGTAAAGATTCCCAAAATTTTTAATTTTTTTGAAAACAAAAAGTTTTTGAAGTTGAATTAAGTTAAGAAAGTGATCATGAAAGGCTTTGAAGGATTTGGAAAGTGTTTAGGAATATAGAAAATGAATTTTAATATTTTGGGGTCTTTTGCATTGGATTAAAGAAAGACATATCGAATTTTTTTTAAAGTGGAGGAAAGAGTTACAACCATAAAATAACGGGAAGTGGCCGTTTTAAAAAAAAGAGGAAATTTTTCCAAAAAAGGCTGAAATTTATGTCCTGTTTTTATTTATCTTATCAACTGGCTCAGCCCAACCAGGGACCCAAAAAGGAAACCCCCAAAAGTTTTATTTTTTTTAAACTCACCACACCCCTTTTCCACCGGCAGGGGGCCGAAAAAATTTAACATTCAAAAAATTTCCCAAATATTTCCACTACTTAAAAAATCCAAAACCCCCTTTTCGGGCAGCATGTACTTCCCATTTCCAGGACCAAGTCGGACCGGTTTCCGAATCCCTTCATAAATTTACCTGCTCACCTCCAACAGCCTTCATTTAAAAAACCATTGCCTCCATTCACTCCTATCAACACCCGCAGCTTTCTGGAGTCCCAAGCCCCTCAAAAAACCCTTTCCCCTCCCCCAAACCCTTTTAAAACCCCCCCCCTGGCCCCTTCCCCCTTTTCCCTCCAAATTACACCAATTTACTTTCGCCCTCTCTTACATTTTTAAAAACCAACCCCCTTTCCCCACCCATCCAAATTTCCAATCCGCCACTCCCCACTCCAAACTCTTTTCCCGCCATTTACAACCCAAGCTACATACATTCCATGGTTGCTTATTCTCAACATTCCCTTTTTGCCGCTTAAAACCCTTTTTTTTTAAATACTCCAACATCCCTTTGAAAAAAAAAAGGGTTCTTTTTTTTTTTTTTCCAAAATGTAAAGTAAATTGACTTTTCTTTTAATTTCTTTCCCCAAATTTTAAACCTCTGGGGGAAATTTTAAAAAAATTTCAAAAATTTAAACTCCTTTAAAACCAAAATCAATATTTATAAATTAAATATATTGCTTTATTAAATTTACCCTTTTGTGTCCTATTTTTGGCCAATTCCAGTATTCCTTCCATTGTCAAATGAGTACAAGAAGCTGCCCATTTACCGATTTCAAGTACCCAATAAAGTTATAAAAAATTGGTAATTTGGCCAATTTCACACAAATTAAAAAAATTGCCAATTTAAAAATACAGAATTAACAATGTAGACATTCCTGGCACTAAAATTTTTCCTCTGTTCCTTAGTCATATCTCCAGGCCCCTCTATATTGCACTTGCTTTCCATTTTTAATTTTTATTCGCACAAAAAACAGAAGATTTACCATTAGGCAGACTGCTGCATTACTGTAATTGTATAAATGTCAGTGCCTTCCTAAATGCATATTAGACTGGCCAGTTGAACGCGTATTGGAGAAGTGTACTCTGGAATATAGGCAAAAATTGAATATTTCCACTACCTTTGAGCTCAATTTCAAGCTATTGTCAGTCCTGAAACCAATGAAAATCATTTCTATTTCTGTAATAAATCTTCAATTCTATCAGATGAGACCAAGAAACCAAGAATACAACCATAAAAACCATACACAGCAAAGTCGCCGTTTTAAACCAAAACAGTCAGGTTTTTTCTCATGCACTGCATGAAAAAAAGGCTGAAATTTACTGTTCACTGCTTATCTGAGCGAGCTGAGCTCGTGGCATAATACAGTAGGATCGACCCTGGCTTCAAGCCATAGTACAACAGTACCAGTGCCGAAAAGGCTAACCGTGTAATTTTTGTTTTTATACTTATCAAAGTAAAATGGTGTTCTCTTTCAGGAAGTATCATTCGAGCTATGCGTCGTCTAGAGGAACTCCTGCGTCAGATGATTCAAGCTGCCAAGGCCATTGGCATTGACCTAGAAAATAAGTTCTCTGAAGGTGTCAAACTACTAAAGAGAGATATTGTATTTGCAGCAAGTCTTTACCTATAGGAAAATGAGATATTGTAACTATAGTGACATAGCATAAATGAATTTGTGTTTAATCTTGTTTACACATTATGAATAAAGTTTTTCAAACATGCCATTTTATTAGACTTTCTTTCACATTGCATGTTAAGAGAAGAATAAATTCAATCATTAACACTTTGTACCATGTTATCCATTTGGTCAACAATGACAAAAAGTCAACATCTGGAAATGAAACTGGTACAAGAGAAACCTTTCAATACAAGGTTTCATCCAAGTCTGAGCCTTATCGAGATTACAGAAACTAGCAAATACGTACACCGCCTTATAAGGTAAACAAGCACCTTGAGGTCAGGACATCGCAAGAATGAGTACAGGTATTGATGAGAGTGGAAGTGGGGCTAGAGAGAGGCTTATGATTATTATATAGCTGTATAGCCCTTGTGGCTTAGCACTTCTTTTTGATTATAATAATAATATGATTATTATATAGATCACAGACAATGTAGGAAACAGGCCCAGTCAACATGGGTATTCCAATGTCTTGCTCATTGGTGGAGATATGGTATAAAATACAGACATGATAGATAAATGCAAATGTTGTATAGTGCAATCCTTCACTGACAGTTTGCCCACAGAGTAGGCTTTATAAAGTCACAAACATATCTATTAACGACACAATAATAACACGATTGCAAACCACAGAATGGGTGGGGTTTGAACCCATGGCTATGGACAAGCAAGACATTGTTTCTGGATGTCTTATTTGTCAAAGATGGTGCTCTTAAATGTAAAGTATGCAAAAAACTCACTAATAAGGATGGGCTAGTACACTTCTTCCCTCACCATGACCTCAAAACTAAGTGGGGAGATACCATAGGTTTCTTCCTCTGAGTACCTCAAATTTGCAGTAATGACTATTCTCGAGGAAAATGAGAATAAAGTGAGGCATTTGTCAAATTAAAGTTCCCAACACACACTGTCCATTACTGCAAATAAACACAGTATACCCACAGAGAATACCAACACTGATAGAGACTGGTCTTCCTCACTGGGCAGACTGCCATTGCCATCACCTCAATTATTATTATTATAATAAAAAAAGAAGCGCTAAGCCACAAGGACTATACAGCGCTGCAGGGCAGGAAGGAAGCGAGGGCATCAGGTGGCAAAAGGGAGATGGATGAGTAATAGGTTACGGATAACAGCGGGGCAGTGGATGGTGAAAGGGTAAAGGGCAGCAAGAGACTGAACTAGAAAGGGCTGAGGGGAGTGCGAAAAGTATCATCAGAGTTTGTGGAGTAAATCAGTCGTTGTCAAGAAGTCAATGAGAGAGTCAGGATTAAAGGAGGGTCCATCAGCAAGAAGGGAAGGTAAAGAGAGAGTAGTAGAACGAAGACGACGTTGGAGGTAAATTCTGCGTGCTCGTTGATAGAGAGGGCAGTCTAACAGAATGTGGCTAATCGATACTGGAACTTGACACTGCTCACAGAGAGGAACAGGGTGCCTCTCCATGAGATACCCATGAGTAAGACGAGTGTGACCAATGCGAAGGCGGGAGAGAGTGGTCTCCCAACCTCGGCACTGATGACAAGAAGACGGCCAGTAACCTATGCTCGGTTTAATAGAATGAAGTTTGTTACCGAGCAGAGTTGACCAACGTTGTTGCCAATGGGTGCGAAGGTGGGTAGCTATTGCAGCAAAATAGTCCAGAAATGGAACACCTCGATAGGAAATTGGTAGGTCATGTACTGCTGACCGCGCAGCAGTGTCTGCCTGTTCATTGCCCTGTATGTCGACATGACCAGGGACCCAACAAAAAACAATATCTTTATGTTTGGTAGAGATACGGCGTAGCCAAAGTTGGATACGAGAAATGGGGTGAGATGTATCAAATTTTCGTATGCCTAGAGCACAGGGAGTCTGGGGGTACTACAAATGATGACACAGGCATAATGGATAAAATAAGTGCTGCAAGAAGGGCCATACGTCAGCAAAAAAAATGCTAGCTGAAGATAGAAAAATTCCCCGCACGACGCGTCGGAAACACTCTGCGAATCCGACGCCGTCTGAAGACTTAGACCATCTGTGTACACAGCAGTGGCATGGAATGGGAGGGAAGTGATCAAGAAAAAGGGAGACGGGAAGCACCGTGGGCAGTTGAGCTTTCAAGAAAGGGGTTTTGAGAAAGAAGCCCTTTTAACAGCTGGAAACCCGGGGGTAGGGAAAAGTAGATGCTACATGAACATATAAATTTGGTAACTGAGGAAAGGACAGAGTGATGTAGGCAAAGAGAAAGGTACGGAGCAACAGGGGCGGCGAACGAATAAAGAATGTTTACTAATACGGGACCATTTATAAATGGAAGGTTTGTAGACGTGGGGAGCGTACATAGTAGCGAAGGCAAGGGGCCCATCACGGCGATCAGACAAGGATGGAAATTTGTCTGCATGGGCTCTAACAGGGGAAGAGCGAAAAACCCCAAGGCACAAACGTATCCTTGGTGATGGATGGGGTTTTAAGAGAGAGAGTAGAAGGAGAGCCCTGAATAAATCTGGTCACCATATCGAGTTTCGATTAAACGAGGGTGAATGTAGGCGAAGCAGAGTTCGACGATCGTCCCAGGAAAGAAGCAAGGGTTTTTTAAAAAAGGTTTAGCGGGCTGTGACAGTTGCCTTCAGAGAGTTATGTGAGGTTTCCAGGATAACCGACGGTCAAGAGAAGACCAAGAAACCGACTGTATCACGTTCGGGGGAAATACGGAGCATAAGATACAAAGGATGATCGGAAGATAACGAGCGTCTAGTGAAAGTAATTGGTGAGTTTTGGTACTTGAAAATTTAAAACCCATCGTGGTGCCAAGTGGAAACACGGTCGACCGCATGCTGAGAGAAACTGCAATAAGATGACAGTCAGCGCCTGCAAAGAAATGCGAAGTCATCAAAGGGTGATGACCAAATTATTGGGTGGAAGACAGGGCCAAATCATTTAAACAAGGAAAAAAGTGTGTGCTAGAACCATCCCTGAGGGACCCTTCACATTGACGAAGTCGGGAAAGAACATTATTGACTCAAAACACGGAAAGTCTGTCATAAAAAGTTTTAGGAAGGATGGTAGATTGCCTCGGAGGGCCTAAGGAATGGGCCTGGGCCAAAATATTATACCTCCAAGTTGTGTCATATGCCTTCTCAAGGTCAAAAAATATGGCAATAACTGAGTGATTATTCGCAAAAGGCATTACGAACAAACGTATCCAAGCGTAGTAAGGGGTCTATGGTAGAACGGCCCTTACGAAAGCCATATTGACTAGCGGAGAGGACTGTTGTGTGTCTCTAAATACCACATTAAACCTCGATTTACGAGACGTTCCATCACTTTGCAAACTGCACTAGTAAGAGCGATGGGGCGATAGTGGGAGGCATCATGTTCTGTAGTTCCCGGTTTTGCGGAAAAGGGAGAAACAATGGCAGATTTCCACAACTGGGGAAGACTCCCTGTGCCCAAATAAGATTGAAGAGGTGTAAAGAGGACTACAAGGGCTGACCGATGTAAATGTTGTAATACGAATATGAATGTCGTCAGGCCCAGCTGCCGATGATCGGCAAGTGAGAGCGTTGCCTCCAGTTCTTGAAGTGTAAAGGCACATTATACTGTTCTTCTCTGAGAAAAGAAAAGTCCAAGGGTACTAACTCTCTGGCGACTTTGAGGAAAGAAACGAGGGGCATAGATGGAGCCCTCGGGAAATACGGACCAGATGTGTGCCAAGTTCAATGGCAACGTCGAGAGGGTTTGCTACATCAACACCAGCGACCCGTAGAACAGGAGCTGGGTCAGGAGAGTATTTACCACTCAATTTCCTCACTTTTTTCCAGACTGCACTCATAGAAAAAGCAGAGGTGAGGGTGGAAACATAGTCTCGCCAACAAGTGCGTTTAGCTTCATGGATGACACGGCGGCGATCGCACGCTTCTGCTTAAAATCAAGAAGTCTCAGCGGGGTTTTATTGTACCAGTACCTGCCCCATGCAGCATGTTTCAACGTTAAATGCCGAGCACAAGCAGGAGACCACCAAGGCACGCACTTCTGAGAATGCCTGCCTGAGGTTTGGGGTAAAAGAATGAGAAACTGCGGTATAAACTGACGTCGAGAAGATGTGTAGGAGCTCATCAATGGAGGATGAAGAAGGAACCTCACTAAAAGCAGTGAGGTGTGAGTAAAGATCCCAATTTGCCCGATCAAATTGGGCCCGCGAGGGCTACGGAAAGGTGGTGAATAGGAAGAGAAGTAAGAATGATTGGGAAAAAAGATCGCCCGTCATGTAAGTCTGGTAGAACAGACCAGGTGAAGTCTAGTGCAGTGGGGGGAAGAGCAGACTGATAGATCGATGCAAGAGAGTGTATGAGTACGAGGATCAAAATGGGGGGAGCACCCGTATTTAAAACATTTGGGGGGGGTGAGAGGCGAGAAAAGCCTCCAACTGAATGCCACTGAGTCACAATGAGACCCCCCCCCCAGAGGAAATGGTGGGCATTAAAATCACCAAGTAAAAGAAGTGGTGGTGGTAAGGATGAAACAAGAAAGGCAAAGTCTGGGATAGAAAATGCCCGAGAAAGGGGGAGAGATATAAAGAACATATTGTAAACCACTTATTCAAGTGGGATACGGGCTGCAGTGTAATGCAGCGAGGTATGGACAAATAGTTGACAGTACGGATATCATTGCGTAGAAGAAGGGCACTTTCATTAAAGGTCCCATCTGAGAAAGGATCCGAAGAATACAATAAATTATAGCCTGAGATAGGTTGGGGGAAAAAAGCCCGGGGTGTAATTTTGGTTCTTGTAAGCAAGCACCAACAGGGGAAAACCTGGAAAGCAACATCTGAAGCTCACCCCCATTACCCCCGAGGCGCGGATATTCCACTGTAAATAGGCCATGATTGGCAATGAAGAAAATATCAGGAATCTGTAGGTAAAGGCACCTACGGACTAGAGGGGTTAGAAAAGTCCCAAAGTGTGGTGGCATTGGAAGCGTTCAAGTAGCGAAGGAAGGAAACGTTGCGAAGAATGGGTTGTGAAGATGAGGAGAGGAAGAGAAGACAGAAGTGAATCAGTGTCCATTGAA